TATCTATCTATCTATCTAATCTGTTTATGAAAATTATATATCATCTTATTGCATTGTTTTGACCTCAGTATCTGAACTCAAGGTCCCCTTACTTACTTTTGCTGAGCAAACTCCATTTGCTAAAATCTAGTGCTGTAAGTGGAGTTTAGAATGTTATGTTATATTCCATGTAGATAATGTACTTTAATTTCTGTAGAAATTAATCTGACTGTAAAACTATATATAGTCTGACAGTGAGACTCATAGGCTTGTGTGTTGTATGTACAGTAGTTAGATTTTCTGAATCTGGAGATAGAAGGTGCACCTCAAGTCATCAGACTGTTTTGTCAAACCTCTAATTGCCAGATCAGTATCAATAATAACAGCCAATCTATACCACTTTGTATTTTATATACCAAAACAAATTGTTTAAACTTACTTTTGTGTTGCTTTCTCCCCTATCTCCTTGCCTACTTTAAAGCAATAACGTATGATTTTTGTAAGGTGAGAAACAACAAGCAAAAATATGATTTGTTTTATGCACTGATTTTCAAGAAATCTTATTGTAAGTAATTAACCTGGGGGGGCGGGGGGGTTCATGCTGATATCTATTAGTTAAAATGTTTACCTTATTCACCTATAGAGAATTTTACAATACAGGGCTGTGTGATTGATGTGACTTTGTAGAATTTACCTAGAAATCAGCATGAAGAAAAAACAACAGTGTAAGTGTCAGAGCAATAAACAGATGTAGGATCTGATGGGGATTGATGGGCTGCTAACCCCCCGTTTGTGGCTCCGCTGGGACACCTCACTCCTTGAGGCCCTTACGTAATCCTGGCGCTGCTTCAGCCTCGGCCTTTGTGAATTCCTGCTGTGTTACCGGATAGCCTGTGGTTACCGCTCGGAGTGTAGGTCAAACATATCAGTGAGCAGCTTTCGGGAACATCTATATCTCCCCACCTCTCTGCCTCCAGCCCACTACTCTCTGTCATCTTTGCGTAAGTGTTGCCATGGAGGTGAGTCGGGGTTACCATGGTGTTGCGCTCATTGTTGTGAGTGTTTTGGCCTATGTCACACAGCTAATGCCATCATAGGCTATAGATGAGAGATATGGAAGGACACGCACTGTTTCGCTCAATGTCAAAGTCCATTTGTAGTTCATAAAAACGGATCCTTTAATTGGTTCTTTAATGAGACAAAGCAGGCTACACCAGAAAAAAAAGCTTGTTTTTTTGTTATGACAACTGCACTCTTACATACATTTTTTACAGTCATGGACTCCCTTTGTATAACACCACACAAATCTATATACTCAATGGCTTTTTAGAGTTTTACTTGAAAAATCTTGCTGATATTCTGGTATATGTGTGAGTAAATTGTTGTTTTCATGTTGAGGTTGTGTTCACTTTACAGGACTGCCCAAGCTGACCTTCGACCTATGACCTTCCAAGGGAAGAAGAATTCACAACAAAGTTTAAAGTTCCTAAAGGATGCGCTTATAGTACATCAACCTAGGGCCTTTGCTTTTGAAGAACATGCTTTTTCTCATCTTTAAAGTACGTTTTCATATATTTTTATGTCACATACAAAACAGAAAAAAAGTCCATTATATACATCCTCCATTTCTCCCACATTGCAACCACAGGTCCGTTTTCCTGCGATAGTAGCAAAGATCGCATTTGATGTTTTTGGGCCAAGATGTTGACCACCAGTCCAGTTGAAGCATCAATGTTTTTTTTAGCCTTGGTTTCTACGTTAACTCTAATCATGCAGTTCAAAAGAAGGAAAAAAGTGATAATGGATAATAATCTTTAGAAATCCTTTGAAGCAGTTGGTCAGTTCGGCAACAAAGTCTCACAAACAAATTCCTTTGAAGCGCTGTGGTCCATCTGGGCATGTCTATTTGTTGTCAGTTTTGAAGAGAATTCTTATTGAGTACCATCAACACACGATCTGCCAGTCTGCAGCACATCTGGCAGCTTAGAGATAGAGCTGAAGAAATGTGAAGTGGGGGGAATTGTGGAGTTACAGCTGGTCGGTTGGGTCAGGGGTCGTCGCCGCAGCTTCTTCTTCATACCGGCCGGTCCACAGCATATTGGCAGGGGCTCAGGTTGGACACAGGGTTCTGCACTGCTGGGTAAGCAAAGTTGGCGTGCTGCTTTGCCTTGAGCCGCAGGCTGGCCAGGCTGGAGTTGCAGGTGTCTCTGTACATGTAGGGACTGGCTGTGGAGGCGTAGGGGCATGTGGTCGCTGTCACCGCTACCGAGTTGAGTGCCGTGGGGCTGTTGAGGTTGTTGAGGTTGCCCAGGTTGTTGAGCCCTGTAGTGGGAACCCCAGCCACCGCTGAGGGCACCATGCTAGAGGCCATGTTCATGGAGGGGATGGAGCTGGGGGGGGAGAACATAGGCTGGGAGGACAGGGGACTTACATTCATTGAGTTAAAGAATGGGAAGCTCTTGGCGGAGAGTGGGCTGCTCGCTAGGCTCTTGGTGGCCCAGTTGTTGTAGGAGTAGCCCGTGTACATGTCATCGTAGGGCTGCATGAGTCCATTGAACTGGGCACCAAAGCCATTTTTGCATAACTCTGCCTGCTGGTTTCTCTCCCGCTTTCTCCACTTGGCACGCCGGTTCTTGAACCATACCTAGGGAAGCCAAAAGGAGAAAATACAGCACTCTGAAACTATTATCCAGTACAGATAATGTATCATCAGAGTTGCTATTTGTGTACTCACAAATACTTTTCTGTTGTCTTACTCCAAATCCAATCCAAAATATTGCTCTGAATCTCAATTCTGAGGCTGTTCTGAAAATGATGCAACTTGGGTCTCTGAATTATTTGTATTTTTTTTACTACAGTCCAGATCTTCTCTGAAAAGTGTCCTGAGATCACTTCTGTTATGATTTGGAACTAAACAAAAAAAAAAGTGAATTGAACTGAAAAATGTAATTCTGATCAACTCATATCAATTTCAGTCTTAAATTAACAACTTCTCTTTAACCCACATCTAGTTTATGCCCCACTTATTTAGAGTGCAGGTACTAATACAGATCATTTAGTTGACACAGATACAGATAATGGTGTTTTTCTTGATAGCATCAAATAAAATATGTTTTCTGGGCCTTTTTTCTTCTGAAAAAATACAGATTTTCTTTATTCAATCATTAAAATTTAAAACCAAAATTCAGTTTACTACAACTTAGGTTTAGCAGTTTTGTCCATAATTTCTGTCAGCTCTGACACTCACTGAAGTATCATGTATGCATAAGAATCAATGTAGGAACAGGACAACATAACTAAAACAAGGGAGTTGTCGACTAATTTTTTTATTTAAAGTTGCAAATGTGTGATTTAATTTTTTTAAGGCTTATACAAATCTTGCAGACTTGGTGGCTTTAAAGTTGACTATATTGACTAAGATAAAAATTAAGAAATACAAAAACCATAAATAAAAATTTCAGTTAACTTAAGTTTAACTTTGAAGTGAAGTTCTAAAAGTTACATAAAGCGTATGTGTGTATGCATTTGTAAAGCCAGCAGTACAGCTGTCAAGGTAGGTGCAGGTTAAACTGAAATTGTAGGGATTAGTTTGAATGCTAACAAACAGCAAGCAAGGGGCATCATTGACCTACACACGCCTCAGTATGCTTCAGCATGTGGAGTAAATCATTTGCCCACGTGTTATTAAAGTTTAATTTATGATTTTGATGAATGTTATTTTTGCTCACAAAGAAAGATTAGAATGACTTTTTCCTTCACAATGAGTGTCAGGAGTCAATAAAGTGTAATTCTAAAACACATCCAGTCAGAGTATCCTAACCCCTCTCAAATGCTTCCAGTAATATTATGTGCAGATGTATCCAGAATTTTTGAAAGACATAATGATCCCAGAAAGTAAGTTGAAGTGTATCATCAAACAGTCATATTAGGCTAGGCTTATTAAAACTAATCATTCACTTATTTGAATAGTGAGATCCCAATGAAAGAAATGTCAGGGAAGGGCAATCTTCACATTTGTCATTTTATGGTCCTATATTTGGAGGATATGAATTGGATTAAAGCTTTAGTGGAAAATCTAAATTGAGCTTTTTTAGAAATGAAAACTGTGCCAAGTTCATCCAAGTGTAAAGTTGTGGACAAACTTTTGCTCTGAATTTGACAGAAACCTTTCATTTGTGGATACAAAAAGATAAAAACACAGTATCTGACAGAAGCCTCCTGGTCATCTGTTAACACTCATGTATTTGTCTTACATCAAAATAATTTGGCATCAAGTGTTTTATCTCTTTAATCCTCATAAAACTTTTACAGGCCTTTCCTGTGTTGATACTCAGCCGTCTCTCTGCTCTCTTGGCATGCACGCTGTGTATCATCCAATCCTCTGTTATTATAGTAACAGAATGCTGTTGACCATTAATATGAGTATAAAGTGCATGACTCTGACTTTTCCATCCCACTCAGTGAGAGCAGGGGAAACCCCACGGCCGAGGACAGGAGCTACCCAATCTTTACTGTGACTCGGAGGCAATGCTGTTTGAAGGTTTGTGGAAAAGGCTGAATGTCAAGGTTACTCAGTGGCAGCTGTATTTATAAGTCTTCTGTGAAATGGTCATATGGCTGCAGAAGATCAAAATACTGTCTCAAAAAAGCACTGATATCTGAAATGAAGCAAAGACATCTGATGGTGTGTCTGTGGCTAACTTCAGAGTCAGAAAATGAGAATTCCCAGCAGACAGGCTGTATCCTGAATGATTCAATATAATATTTTCAGGCCTGGGGAAAAAGGTAACTATAATCCATTACAGTTACAGAAAAAAATTGTTACATTAAGTATAAATTGGTATTATTAAACACATGATACCATTTTCATATTTTTTTACATTACATTGTTTGGTTGTCTTATAGAATACACTTAGATCAATACTTCTTATTGTATCTTATCTTTTGTAAATTTGTTTTGGTAATCCAAAAGTAATCAAAAGTAATCAAGTTACATTACTTCAATAT